GTACTTTACAGGTTTTTTCATTTTATATGTATGTGGAAATGTCACATAAAATTGGGTCAAATAGCGATTTTCCCGCAGTGAGTAATAACATAGTTAAATACAGGAGAAGGCACAGAGATATTATTAAATTTAACCTTCAATTCTCGACAACGGCATTTTGGATACCGAGTAGAGCTCTAGTGCACTGGCTGACTGGCTGTTGTGCTGGTTAAGTAGGGTAAGGTATGCATTTCTCGCTCATGATCTTTATTTACCATTACCCATAATAATGACCCTTTGACATTTTATTTGCACACAAAAAATAGCCGAGATTTCTGACAAAAAATTTGAAGTTTTGGATTTTAACTTGAAATATATTATCTTTTTCATTTCGAATTTAATATTCAGGTTAGAACTACACTTGGAAAATAGTATATCAGATGACGCGAGTTGAGATGTCATGTTGGCAGTTGAGAGCTTTAATCGAAAACGCATGAGCAATTAAAACAAATTACAAGCAACCCTCGTGAGACTTGCGCCTTTCCGGTGAAGACGTCGCTGCTTCGGCCGTCCGTCAATGGAAGCAATTATTGCCAGGCCTTCTAAGCTCGTGGATAACAATCTGGTGAGAGGCGTGGCTACAGCTTTCCCCAAGCTGCTGATATATCCTTCATATTTGCCATTGCTCACGTTGGCCTTGCAGCGTAGCTTTGGACTTGCCACGGCTAGAGCCTTGGACTTGGTACTATCCTAATACTTGGACTTGCTGTCGAGTCTTGGACGAGCTACAGTTGGAGTTTAACGCAGCTTAAAGCTTTGGACTTCATGCAGCTCAAGCTTCAAAATAATATTCCTGCTGCAATTGCCTAGGAATTCATGCAGCGCCAGAGCCTGTGCCTGGCTTCAAGACTGGGGCTGGAAGCCTTTTAATATCTTACTTTCTACTGCTAGAGACTAGAGCGTTGGACTTTTTGTCGCTGAAGTAGGTATTTGACTTGCTGTGGCTTTGGACCTGGTGCTGATAGTTTCGAAAAACTCCCTGGTTCTCTTAAAAATGTGTTTGCTGTATAAATGTGTTTGCTGTCAATATTTCAAATTCTATTTGAAATTTGCTAAGAATATGCTGAAGAGTGTTACGTGTGATGTCATTCTGCTGTTCAGTATAGTTCGGTTTCCAAATTGTTAATAAATAATGGAAACTTAAATAATTAAAATATGCGTTTGCCGACTAACAAAGCATGATTCTTCTTTCCTGCGCGTTACGATGGTCAAATTTCGTTTATATTCATGCGAATAAATAAATTCGATTCCAGCCCACAGAAGTCTAAAAGAATGAAAAAATATGGATTTAGACTCGGAGCTTTGGCAAGTTTACTCTCGACAGTTAATACCGAAGACTCCATTCGATGTCCAGCCCGGAGCTCATTTATTCCGAGCTAATGCGGAGATATACGATTGAATGTCAGTTTATCAATCGTTGTCAGTGTTTGTATTAGGCAATGCAGTCAGTGCAACTGCAGTTCTCTCCCTCGCGCACAGAGCCGCGGCAAGGCGGCGCTCTCAGCATTGCATTAGTTGGGTGTTTGCAGAGCGTTCTGCCGGCATCACCAGAGAGCTCTTCAATCTGGTCAGCCAATTCACTAACTCATGAGGGATTTAGGCTTGAATGCAATTCACGTCATAAGTCACTGTATTCAGCTTTACCAGAGACCTCGTATGTGAACGCTAAACGACGGCTCTTCCATTTTCGTAGAAAGAAAAACCTGAACTCTATTCTCGACGACAGCGAGTCGAGGGCTGCTCTATTATTTTAAAAGCTACAAACACGGAGATAAGGCACGTGCTGCCTCGTCAGATTGAAGGACGCTTACATCGTTGGACTCCTATTAAGAGCGGACCTCAGTCGGTAGTTCAGCGCCAATAAACGGATGCGCTGCAAGGGCGGCGTGATGAAACGCGGGTGAGAGTCTTGAGTTTCAATATATAAGTGAAATATTCGTTGATGCCAACGTAGACTTCAATTACATTTTCTCTAGCGGATTTTCGTGGTTAACTATTGCAAATGAAGATTCAAATTTTCGGCTCCCTTTATTCAACGGAAATATTGTGTAATTATTTGGGGGCTAATATTAATGAACCGATCGATCAAAACCAATATTTAGAAGCATCATTCCATGCATGATTAATCATCCCCTAGACGTATGTTTTTTTTCCTTGCATTGGTTGCTTGTGATGTAGTAGCCGGGATTTGATTTTTTTATGCTAGGCTGTAGAGTATTTTAAGTATCGTATTGAGCGATTTTCATAGAACTTTGACACCTTTTTGACATGTTCTTTCTCTCGATACCTTTTGAGAAAAATCATGTTTCTTAATCGCGAATTGTAATTTTTTCATTACGTGCATAGCTAATATACAAGCCAACACCCCTGCATCATCACGCCTTGTACTGATAACTGGAGAACGAGCAGCCATTCACACGCTTTTAAACTTTATAAAACGCTTATGCTAACGGTTTTACAAACTACATTCGACAGTGAATAAATGTTGATGCTAGACACTTGTGGTTGTTCTCAGTGACAAGGGTGCTTAGGTAAACGACAAAGTGACTGTGTTCTCCAGGTGACAATGGAATAATGACTAAGCAGATATTCCTAAAATTCTGCAGCGTAAATATTCGCTAGTCTTCTGACAACGAATCTAACCTCGCAGACTGCAAATTAATTTTTTTGGCTAAAATGTTGAACGATAGAGGGCCGGTGTTTTCTTGCCATTGGCATGAAAGCAAGATCGCCTCATACCCTCCCCATTCCGGCAATATTGCGATATCCTGAAGTTAACGCAAGGAAATCTGAATTTTATTGCTAGATATTATCATTTGGGATCTGATTTGGATACAATACCGTTTGGCGTCTCAGTGTTGAGAGAACATCACGTGTTATGCAAATCAGTTCTGTTCGCTGGATAGCAGCATGGTTGCTATTCTCGTCGACTCAGTGGTGAAAGAGTGCTGAGAGTTGCGCTGATCATTTTATTCGGTGATAAGCTTCATGACTGCGGTCTTCTTCGGGTCTCGGTGGCGCAAAAAGCAGTGTTACGCAATTAGGCTCTTTTCGAGTATCATGGTTGATATTGTCGTTCTCTAAATGACCGCTGTGAATACTCAAGTAACTTTATAAAATCCACCTTAATTACAAACTCTCGCGCTGTATAATTCAACAGTACTCTTGGATATAATTTTCAACGCAAATTGATGAAGCGAATGAGCTTTATGAATTGGGCCATGCACCATGCAAATTGGTGCAAGTGAAGTAAGAAACTTCCGACTAATTTTCTTGATACGAAAAAATTGCTGGAACTATCAAGGATTCCACTTGGCTTTCAAAACCCCTTTTTGTTTTTAGCTAAATGCATCAACAACGTAACGTTGGTAAGAGGAAACTCGAAATTAACGTAGTTATCTCTACTGGTAGCTTATGCGTAAACGCCCACTTCAGTTACAGTAAAAATGACGTCTGGACCACAGAAAGCGTTTCGTGTTCTAAGTTTTGTAAAAATTGTTCTGCGAGACTTCCGTGCTAGGTTGGGTGTTTATGCTCCTACATCATTAAGCTCGCAACGTATGAACAACGATGGATGACCCGAGAAATCGCATAAAAGAGGACTTTTCAACTCAAGCTGATCACTACTCACTAGACTAGAGCGTGGGACGAGCTTTACAACGTAAACATATGCTGTGCATCTGATGATCGATACCCTGAACACTTTTGAATAGGTATGAGAAACGCGAGTTTCCCCTTGAGACATGAAATTAGTACTTGTTTATATGTATGTTCATTAGTGTTCAAAATACAGTTATGTTGATTTGAACGATTAATTTTAATATACAGTGCATTGAAGGTTTTTCCGAACTTGTTTATCCTTCCGACTCGGGGGCAGTGATACGAAGATTAGTCTGAAGTAGGTACGCCCAAATGGTGTGAGCGTGGCGTCGACTGGAGACCAAGAAGAGTCGAGCACAGGAAGACAGTTTAACACGATGATTTTGGAAGAAAGACAAAGTTAGATTTGGCAACAATTTATTGGAATGTCTCGTCAAAATACGGTAGTTTGAAATGCTGAGCTATCACAATTTTATAGTACCAGGAATGTTATCTTTATCACAGTTTAATGCGTGGACTGAAACTTCACCATTGCAAGGTCAAAATAACTACAGTTTAGATTGTAATGTCTGCGTACGAAGTTATAAATGAGAAGAGAAAAAATTTAACTTATCCAAAAATGTAAGCAAACTAGTATGAAAGGTAACCGATGTTCAAAAAAGTATACTGCAATCGAAATGTGCTACGAAACCAACAAATGCGTCATCCATGCGGTTATACCAAGTGCTCTACCCAATTATAAAAAAGCATTGAATAACCCAGAAAATTTCCACTTTCAGTACGACTTCGGTGTCGTTTTCAGCAAGTTTTTCTGCAAAATCTTGTCGATTTAAATTATCGGAAATGTACCAGATAGTAAATCGTGGTCCACCTCATCTTTCGATTCGTTGGCATTAATTTAGTGTAGTGAGTCGACGGTCAATTGCAGATATAAACAATTTAATCAAGGATTTTGATCCCATGAAAGAGCAATGAACTTCTTAAGTGTCTCGCAAGTTATACTTAAAATGGATTTGATAATTTGAGCTGATTCTCATTAAAACTATCGAGAGACCACATAAGTGAATAGATGGCAAATTTCCAACAGCAAAGTAAAAGCGATGCCGTATAAACTGAAGAACAGTAAGCATGAACGCAATTTTTTAATGAACGTTAAAACGAGTATCTAAAATAAATACGTTCATGTGTTATAAATTAGGAAGATAGATAAATTATATCCGAATAGTGGTTACGAAACTCATCATAAACCGTCGAACGGAATTCATCACAAAGTTCAACTTATTTGGTTCGATTAAAATATACGAAAATTGCATAGAACAACAAAAGTAACTCAAAACTTGAAGTGGTTAGTAAAACGAATATTAAACATATCTTGCAATAATTTATTGTATAAGGTTTCAACATGGAAAAGTACAAATATTGCAATACAACCAAAACTACCTTCGGAAACAACAAGACTTCTCTGCATCGCTGGTGTACAAAAATTGATCAGGAGCAACGCTAAGTCGAGGGTGAGTACAATAGTAGGGACACATGACAGACGAGGGGAGACCGCTGCATCCCAATAGCAAGGGGATTTAGTGAGGGAATCGATCAGTGTCGGAACAACGTCACCCAGAATTAACCCTTCCATCGTTTTTTCATTCCCTTGAGAGCAAGCAGTGCACTTCTAGAAAGTACTGCGTTTGTGCGACCGGGAGCATGAACGTCTTCGTAACGCTCGCACTATTGAGCTTCCTTGCCCGTATGTGCGTAACGACGACAACAGGAAAAAATGAGGTTAGAGGCACCAGGGACGCTAAGTTCCGACACTGGCCAAAGTGGTTAGGACTTGGTGCGCACTGATGGTGATCATCGTACCGAGCGATGAAGGGTCCGATTATAGCCTTACGAGGATCGAGTGGTTCCCATAGCAACACACACGCATCGTTTCAGTTTTTCTCCAAGCAATATAGGGTACTTTTGGACTTCGCGCTCTGATCAACTTTTTCTAAATATTTTCGGGTCTTGACCGAGAACTCGCTTGCTGATAGGGCCAAAATAAGCAAATAGCACGAGTACGCACACGGCGAGTATGAAGAATCAACTAAAAGATCCTAAATTTGTCGCCAGCTATATCAAGAACACCAGTGAACCGTAATGGGAGTTTATGCTGCTGAGTGTTGACAAAAGCTCTGTAGTGTTCAATCAATCTGTGTCAATATTCACTGTAAATTGCAAGTTTTTACCGGTTACATCATCAAATCATTGGCGAAGATCAATTGATTCACCTAAGCTCAATATCGGTTCGATTCACTGGTGAATGAATAGTTGGGTTGAAGAGATCTCACGACACGCAGTAAGGTATCATTGATAGCGATCCTTAAAGTGAATCGACATGATCTCAACAAGAGAGCCAAAAGGTGGAGGCTGGTACTTGAAAAGCAAGTGCCTCACTCCATCTGATGACCATCCTTTTACCTAACAAATGAGAACGGGCGCCAGATACAAAGGTCCGGCATGTACCACGAAAAAAGCACAAGATAAAGAGACGGGGCATCGACCAGGCGCTGAACCAAATGAGATAGAAGAGGCAAGGCTGCTAGGATTATCTGTAGCTACACAAAATGCCAATCATCCATATAATCTACAAGAGAGCGCTAACCTAAGATAGTGCCTCCGACTAGAACTGGGTAATCCAACACAAATGCACGACACAAGAAAAACTCATAGCTAACCAGTTATTAAGAAGGACACAAGCATTAGAAGCATAGTATTACACCTGATAAAAGACAAATAACCCAAGTTAATGGGACAGAAGTAAAGGCAGTCCAGCTATGGTGCCACAGTAAGATGATAGCAATGGTGGTAGGCTCTAGCACTCAACTAATCCTCGACTAACCCAACACAAAGTACTCCACAATTGTATCTATGATGGTCAGTCTCAATAGACTGATTCGATGGATGAGAGTGAATTGCAACTTTACATTCTCTTGGCTGTCGGTAAGAGAATCGCCTATCTCATTTCTCATAGTGCGTTGAAAATAAGTTATCAGCGCGCACAAACACCGAACGAATAGTAAATGAAAGAGACTGATGCCTCAGCACTTAGTAAGGTAAACAAGCAAACATATACTAATTATACATTAAATACAAGATTAATATTCTACGGTAAATTAGAGAAGCGCTGATGCTATATGCCTCAATACAAGATTACTCTAAATAATCATAATGATAATTACCAAGATAAAAGACTTACGTGCTAGAGACATCTGGAGACGAAATACCAAGAGGTGCAATCTTCCCTCCTCATGCCACTTCTCCAGCTCACGAAATGCGGAGATTTCTTACACCCGCGGCGATTTTTCGAGTCCCGTGCTCTTAATCTGGAATTGCTTTTCGTAGAGCAACGACGGAAGAGTACAAGCGCCTTTAGGAGTAGTTAAGCGAAGATATTTTGGCCTATCTCCAGATAGAATCGAAATGGCAATAACATTAATTGCTATCAACATTAAAAGAATCAGCTACTGCAGATGTACTAGACCTCAGTACCTTGAGCTGGAGTAGTTGCAAGAAGACTCTTACGCCAGGGACGAATAAAGACTGGAAACCATAAGTTACAGACAAGCGGGCAGCTTAGGAGCAGTAACGACGGCGGCAGCAGCAGCAGCAGCAGCACTAAATCAATGCATATGCATGCTCGAAACCAATAAATCGGCCATACCAAGTTCAAGAGAGCATTGGAAGAATTCCTGACTAAATTGGTCCTATACAGTCAGTCCTCTTACTATATATAGATCATCGAATGCTTCTGAGATAAATTATAATGCAACTACAGGAGCGTGGACTAGTAACAAGCCAGAAACTTTAAAGAACGAGTTCCGGGCTTGCTTACATTACGAGTATTAGCAGGTAGATGACGGTAAGTCATGCTTCGTTCAATGAACAGATATGAGAATCATACAAGGCATAACAGCTAATGGATTGAGCACTAATATTGCACGAATGTTTGCAAGCAGGCGCGAGTTAGTCAAAGAATATTAGATGGTGTAAATGATGCGGCTAGAGAGAGAGAGCAGACTTCGCTACCGCTGTCGCCGTTGACACCGCGTACTACTGCAGTAGCCAGGATAGAGCAAGGCGGCGTTAGAAAGAAGATGAGGATTTAACCTATAGGCTACAACACACAAACCGGAGAAAAGTTTACATTACATATACAATAAATAGAAGTGACACACGGAACAGCATGGCGCGAGGAGAGAAGAACTTGATTTAAAAAATTCTCAATGGAGCATTTAAAGCTCTGGACAAGGTTTACCGTTTTAATTTTGTCATTTATGTGCTGCTCTCCTCGTCACACGCCTTCCTCTCAGAATAATAGGAATAACAATATTCAAAACTAGACCTGAATAATATACAAGATGACAAAGAGACAATAATACATTAGAAATTACGTACGTACGATGCTAGACACGAGGTGATCCCTTGAACCCATCGGCTTTCGTTTCATAACCAGCGAGTGAGGTGCTGCCGCGTCAGCTGGCGCATCGTTTGGGCAGGAGTCAAAGTACAAAAATTCAGAACTCAGAATCTTGGCAAGGGGTGCATGTCGATTAAAAGAGTTTGCTACCGAATTTACATTTTCCTTGAAATGGTTGACATTGGGTTCAATTTTGGCTGCTTGACTTTCGAGCATCCGTAGTTGAATGAGTGTGTTCTACTTGATCCCCAGCAACATACAAATATGGATGACGACACATACACACCTTCGTAGAGACCATCTCACTCTCATGCAGATAATTAACTTTATTTCAAAATTGTATTCCCAACCAGCATCTGTTGCTCCGAGCATTTTACACAAGAGAAAGTCGAGCAGTTTGATACGGTGCTGGAGTGAGATGACCTCGACGTGGCGCCTAAAACAGACACTGCACAGCTGAGTCATGACCACTACAAGCAAATTTGCATCCATTATTAATGAGTTTTTCTTAAGAGCAAATACAACCGTAAACGGTGAGTATCATTTGTCGAGATCATTATCGTACGAGTGAACCAAACGACGAATTTGTCTTCGCGCCGGTATTAACATAACTCGGTCCGACGACAGAATTAGGCATTTATGAACTTGCTGCTCCCAGTCAATTGATTTACCAGAAGAAAAATCAAACTACAGAAGTGACTAACGCTCAATCAGTAGAAGAATTAGAGTGATAATAGTTAGAAGAGGCGTGACGTAACTTACACTAACCAAACGACTGGACTCAACGGAGGTCTAGCAACTACAGTACAATTAATTTGATGCAGAGATAGGACTTAATCAAACATTCCCTTATTTTTCAAAGCTTTCTTTGCGCGCGTATCAAACAAAAATGACATGACGTCTCAGAAAAAATTTATATCCTTTCCATTACAGAAGCCCCTAAAGCTAAATAGATAGTATATTGAAAGCATAGCAGAATTTCGATTAGCTTCTACGCATGGCAACGAACTAGCAAGAGAATACTGATCGGCCAGGCCACACTAGTTGATAAGGTACCTTCCACCAGTCAGTGAACTGGACCTCTCTTGAAGTCGACTTAACTAGAGTGCTTTGTGACGCAATCGACCGGAATGTTTGGAGACGGTCTGCAGCAGAAACATCACCAAGAGATTTATCATTCATAATTAGTTATACATAACAAGTAGCACAAGATTCAACATTAGTCTACTTCGTTGATTCATTCATAGTAGGGCGGGAAGGGAGACAGGGAAGAGGTAGGGACAGCAGCAGATCCTCACAGGGTCTTTAAAAGTCTCTTAGAAAAAATACCATCACGCACACTGGGTGTTGGATTTTAACGGCTCTAAACAATACACTTCTCATCGAACGCGACACTCTCATAAAGAATCCAGACGCTTCTCACTTTGTGCTACGTTTATACACATCCCTGTGATCGATAAAGAAATTCAATAGAGAAAATTTATTTTGAAACAGGACTCAAAAAATGGCTTGTCTAATCTACTGCCGTAATTACTCATGCCTTTTTTACTATTATAGCTGAACTACTATAACTTTTCAGAAAGTCAATAGAATGTCTACAATGAGTTACTTGCGACTAATGTAGTTGGAGCCGACTGAGGTAACTCGCATCTTGAAGTTCAACATAGTGGTCATAAATGGCTCTTTTCAAATAGGCTAAACTTGAAATATAGATAGCTCTCATCTCATTCGAGTAACACTAGCATTCAATTTAAGTACAAACATTTCAAGAAATACCAGTGAACATCTTTGGTTGGCATTCTTTAAGTATAAGAAGGTTTAATATTGCCTCCCGGTACCCCCAGTTTACTCAAGGATAGCCAGTGTGGGTCGGTAGGCAAACTCTGCCTAGAGAATCTCGATGGACACACGTCCGTTCCTGGCCCTACGGAGAGAGCACATTCAGGGGACTTATGAATGGAGTGTGCCGGGCTGTAACGGGTGCTCTGGCAAATATTGTTCAACACTAAACCTTCTACCTGCGTACGGACGTCATCTAGTACATCGTACTCTAAATGATCGCGGCTCATCAACTCGTTATCCTACATCATGACAGAAACTTGATCTGTTTGTGAAGACAGTTGCGTTCAGACATTAAGTGAATCGTTTGGTTTTAGATTCAGTAGCAAATCTGAAGAACAGCTGCATTTTTATGTTCCAATACGGAGGTAGAAAGTTCAACATTTCATTCGAAATCGACAACACTGCCAGCTACTTACTCTTAACTTACATATCAATTGATGCAGGAATGTTAAGTAGGGGTTCTTTATCTAAATTTCTGTACAAAAATAGATACATTTATCAAGATATCTTTAGGTTTGCATGGAAGTTTTTCTTATCGCTTACCATGATAGCAACTTACACGTGGTTGCAACCTTCCCTAGAAACAACACCATTAGAAAACCCTTCTTTATTTTCCAGATCAGTTTGTGACATAGCCGCTTAGTGACTCTGAGTTGGTATGTGTTTGTTATGAGATTCTTCTTCAAAACCCCTAACAATAATAAAACATAACACTAACCATCAACTAAACATATAGACATTAAATGACCGACAGGCTACTCTCTCATTCTCTCTCGTAATCGGATGTCAGAAGCGCCTTTGCCTGCGTGCGGTGAACTTATCGATTCCACCATCGGAAACAAATCCAGATTCGTCTGCTGCCTTCAAAGAGCTGTTGAATAGACTGCCATTTCTTCCATCTTACACACTATGATATAATATCGTCTAGGAGCTTGCGCTCAACTCTTCTCTTCCACAGTTCCACATTTCTTTTGTGCCCCAAAATCCGAGGGGATGTGGGTATTACAGGCTGTCAGACTTGGCTAGGTTAAGCGCAACAAGACAGAAACTTAACGACTGATTATCCGAGGGTGCAATTCTAGTCAAACTTGATGACTTAAGGAGAGAACAAGAGAGCAGGTTGTTGCGGCTCTCTCATCCTCATCTATTGTATAGCAAGAAAATTAGCATGCCAAAGCATAATGTCAATAAACGAAGAAGCAAAAATGACATCGCTATCATCAATTAACGTAATTAGTCAGCAATGAAACAAAATTAAAGGAACTGAAAAAAACTGCAAAGTAAAGAAACAAAAACTTTTATTTGTTAAGTATGAATAACATAAAAGTCTCGTTAATACAAGGAAAAGAAAAATGCTTCCGATGAAGAAATCATATCAAACTACTTAGAAAAAAGGAATAACACGTAAATGAATAAACTTAAATGCATCTAGAACTAAGAACTCATAATTCTATGACTGAAATGAAGACTAGAAAAATACTTCCGTATCACAAGCGAAACAAATTAAAGAAAAATCGAAAAATGTGTCCCTAAAACATCTAATAGGGAGCAGTATTCAAGAGCCATTTTAATAGCGAAAAAATACAACCACACGGAAAAGTGTGTTCACTATAATGACAATAAAACACATCAACCATCGCATTAAATACAAGATAAATACGTACGAAGAAATAAAACCATGACTTAGAGACGAATATCTTCCAAGTCACAACGCGAATAAACGCATCGATGGTTCAGAGGGGGTACATTGGACACCAGGGCGTCGCATCGATGCCACGGGAGAAGCAACGTAGCGGTTGCTCGCTGCTGCTGCTGCGACTCTCGACGCGTCACTTCACACTACTGAAATACTCACAAAATAGACAAGTCCATTGTGAAGATCTTCATGAAGGTGCTGATGGCGAGACCATATCTCGTCTTCGCCATGGAAGGGACAAGGCTCCTTCAGAGGTTAACAGACACTGAGGCAACAGGCCCATAGTTAACAGCCTAGCCATGACTGCGCGGAATCAAAATGAGTCAAGCAACATGGACGTAACCAATTCAAAAACTAGATTGGTATTTTAGCATTCTTTTGATGATTTACAAATGTTGATCTAACGAATACCAGACAAAATTTCGCAGTTGGAAACTATGTTGACCTGGTTATTTTTTAGCCTAAAGTTGTCAGACCTGAGAGCCATCAGGCATTTCCTTGATACCTTAGTGCGTAAAATTGAACAAGTTGGAGAAGGTTGACAAGTCGCAGTAGCCGCAGCAATAGCAGCGTCTTGTCACTGAGTTACAACCGTCGGCATAGGAGGTGAAGAGCAGCCTGTTATGTTAATATTTTAGTTTCGTGCTTCTCTAACTCCAAGTAGACGCTTTCAATATTAGCAGGTATATTACCATACTTCGTTTGCATTCTCGATTGGTCTAAATATACATATATTCGGATAGATGTAAGGAAAAGATGGACCGACCAGCAAGAAAAGTTGGCCAGGCAAGAAAAAACAAGAAGATAGAAAAGAATAGGGAACGTTAGACTGGTGGCCATTTGGATGGATCGTATCACCCATCAGAAGTAATGAGGATGAAGCTTATGTCCAAGTGGTCACCAGTTGACTAGCGTGGCTCAGTAGTGGTTACACCCCTATACATAAGGATGGAGGTCACGGAGGAGCAGCTGTAGCAGCACCTTAGCTTTTGTGTTTGTTGGTCTTGAACGACACTTGCAGGACTCTGTTGCCAAGTGTGTAGCCATTCAGAGACTGGATTGCAACGACTGCCTCATCATAATTGGTCATGGTGACGAAGCCAAAGCCCTTGCATTTGTTTGTTTGCAGGTCCCTGATGACTTTAACGTTTTGCACGGCACCGAACGGCCCGAAGAGCTGCCACAGAATGTTCTCTTCAGTCTCGGGAGCGAGGTTGTACACGAAGAGACACCAGCCCGAGCCGCTGAGCGCAGAGCCGGGCAGAAGCTGGTTGCCCAGGAGATTCTCGCCAGTGCCAGGCGAATACCTGTGGGGAACGCCGTCCCTGATCAGGCCAAGTAATAACAAGTTAGTTTAAAAAGCAACTACTGCAATGCCGCAACGAAGCAGAAGCTATGGCGACAGGAGCATAGCAAAGACAAGGCAGTTATCACAGAACACTCAAGCCAAATCACACACAACACTCGTAAAACATCATCTTATATGTTCTCAATGGGAAGGTGAAAAATTTCTCACACATACGATTGTAGTACTCAAACGGTGGGTGGAGATACGAATATTAATTGGTTAAGTAAGGGGAATATTTATACACATGAAGGACAAGTTGGGTTTGCACGATTTTAGAGACGATAGATAGTAATTAGAACATATATTTTAGGCAGATGCCAGGAGAGGGATGTGCAGAAAACGAATTCCGCTAGATAATATATACACCGGTGAGGATTTTACACTGATTATTGGTGACTGCATTGAGATTGGAAAAGAGTGAAATTGATTTTAATACTTGCTGGGTTACGTATAACAACAATGACTATAAAATCTGTGCATCAGAAAAATTTTAGACGCACCACTTGCCGACAGAAATGTATTGAGAAATATTTTCATCGATTCAAAACGGCAGTAGAAAAAGATCGCAAGTAGTAATCCGTATCAATTTAGCAGCCTTAGACATTTTATATTGCCCATCAATCATTCAGGAGTTCATTCACACTAAACTGTTAGAAAAGCCGAATTATTCAAGCAGCACTATAGATATTGAACACCATGCTGCTAGAGCAATGAAGAACCTACTGGCATGAAGTAGTACCACGAGTCTCGTATAGAATTGCTAGGAACAAGAGAATCATAACGCTAAGAACAATAATTCTCTGGAGCAATAGAGCGGCAACATAACAACGAGATGAAAGTGAAAGACACAGCAGTTGCGAAGACACTAAATGCCAGCATCGATACACTTCAATATTGTATATGTACTACATCACATCCACGAGTTTCAACATACATACTATCATGCTATTGGCCACTGAGTGTCTCATAAGAGATATTAATATGCAAATACAAATCTCATTCTGCCTTCGACGAGTTAGTGACTATCCGATTAGAGATAGCTAAAAAATCACAGGCATCGGAGATTCGCCAAAGACTTAGCTTCAGCACTAGAGTTATATATTCAAGTCATCTTCGTGACTGGACCATGATAATAATATGCAACTAGATATATTCCGTACAGCAAGAACCAAGGTGATTGCAGTTGAAAATACTGCTCCTACGACACACTGCAAGAAACATAACCTCTGGCATAAGTATTTTTTTCGACCCTCAAAGCCATTTAGTTAGCTATTTTCTAGTAGGAGGGTGTCAAGTGATCAGTTCGACGATACGGGTCATAATTCGCAAACTGAATAACAACATTAACACGCTCGGGTATTAGTGCTGAAGGCACTGAACGCCTATCAATCTCGAATGAAGAACAACACTATTTTGAGCGCACAAAGTTTAGTTATTATTAGTCATAACCACCACTTCAATTAAGTCACTTCAAACAAAATTTAAAATAAGAACAGCATGCAAAGTAGCAACTCAACTAGGAATGACCAAATCATGCAACACAAGCCACCAATCACAGTCATAAAAGTAGCTAATTATAATTATGAAATAAGTAACAAGGAAGCTTAATACGACTAATAAAATCTTCGAGAGGAGCTAGTGAATAATAGATTTTGTTTACTTAATCGTCGAAACGAATTATTCTGCATCACTTCAAAGATGTGGGTAATTCTTCGCCGCTTGTTTGAATGTTATAAGGCATATGACGCGACTGATAGCGTCACGCTTTCTGTGTGACCTTTTGACCAAATTATGGTTATTCAGCGTTCAAAGCGATACACACAATTAGTACCTACTGACAAGGTAAGGATTTCAAGTTAATCGTGTCAAATACGAAAGATCTGTGGCTTGTTAGTAGCTCAACATGAATAAACTTTTCTCACTTTAGAAGTTTAACATGTTCAGGCACAAAATGTACCGGTAATGAATAACATTGAACGAGAAGAAACAAAAAGGGAGTTCTTGAAATTATTTCAGAGCCAAAGTGTTCCTATAATTTTAAAACCAAACGTACAAGAGTGAGTAACCCTATAATTTTCTAAATTAAACTTGAATTTTGTTAGAAATCAAAAACCGAAAAGATAGTTGAGGCGCTTGGGTGATAATGAAAATTGCATGTAAGGCGTTTGTTAACAATTTTCCTCACACTCGGCAGACTGGGGCACACAAACTGGAGAGGTTAAGTCAAGAATTTAGCGCAAGAGGAAGCGATTTATTTACATATTATTTAGACGATAGGTGTCAACAATGGCGCACGTATCAGGGCGACAAGTGTGCATGAGGTTACGAGGAAAACGGTTGGCTTGATAAATGGATGTTTCAACGAAGATACTAAAATATGTGTTTGAACTTCCTATTTGAATTGTAATCATAGTCAATGGTCCAGGGAACATATAACAACTTCTAACGAATTCTATGCGTGGGTAAGTTCCTGAGTCGAGGTTGTGATGGGTATTAGTCAAGATTTCTTTCCTTCCGAATAGGCAGTGACAAATCTGAACATAGAAGCTATCTCAAGCAGAAAACGGCAGGAAGTCATCAGATACGAGCACACGACAAGGCCAATACATGAAGCAATACTCTTTTGTGCATGGGGAAACCACTTCGTTCATTAAACCACGGTTGGTTCAACATCAAGCGCTCTGCTCGCCTCAGAATATCTGATACATAAAAAATATATTTCGATAAGTGAATATATATCATCACATGAAAACCACCGTTAAAAAAGCGAATAATTTTTACTAGTTCATCTGAAACAAGACGCGCCCAATCAAGATATAGGAAAAAAGAGCGTCCAAAAATGACTTTTTCGAATACAAAGTGAAACAGAAAATGCATGAAAGAATCACGCGCTTTAATCGAAGGATTATTTCTCTTCACGATCAATCGAAACAAAAGAGGTACAGAAATTGTAAGGCGTAGCAGGTATACTTGAAGCCAGCACTCGTCAAGGGAGGACAGTCATCGTCAGTCATCAATGATACTAGAATCGTAGGTAAGAGTGGAGAATGAGGTGAATCTTCGATACATGTTGTTAGCAAGCAATGCATATTGACGAAATAAGAGGAGCTAATTCACAAAACTGTAGAGAAGGCAAACCTACGAGCGACAAGAAGAAATCGCAAATATTGAAAAGAATTAAAAATAAGAAACGACTGATATTAGAAAAATGTATAAAATCATATTAGTGAGAGATATACAAAACGGCTTGATTTTATATCGTCAAGTAAGCTTGTGTTAAAACCCTGGTGTATGCACGCACACGAAACAAGTGCTATTGATGAATGCTCGAGATGATAATGTTAGTGTACGAGTGTGTTGTAGTTCCATGATAGGATAATGTATATAGAGTGAAGCCAACCTTTTTTGCCTTTGGGAAACTTACACTAACTTGCTTTTCAAATCAGTGGTGACATTGGTCGGCTCCTCAGGCACAGAATCTATGGTTTTCACTTGAGGGAACACCATGGTTGAGTGTCTGAAAGAAACGAGTAAGCATACGATGTGGTTGGTTCACTTTTTGAGCCTTTTTTTTCTCCTGGTTTCGTAAAAACTAATGGAGAAAACAAAATAACTAATTCAAAATAAAACGAGAAAAATAAGACTTTCAATATAACTGATCACATTAATATGATAGGTTCGCTACGAAATCCCTAGAAGAGACAAGATAAAGTAGCTCAGAAAAATCAAGTTAATAACATAAAGTGACTTCACAAACTATATCTCAGAAGGCTTAAAATCATGAGTAGTATGTCATAGGAAAAACATAATTGAACAACAAGACTAAGATCAGCGACCACTTTTTTCCTTTATTCATTAAACATATTTGTAAAAACAAAGATTGACAACAGATACGGTACTGTAGCTTGCAAAGGAGCAAGCAATTTTAATTTTAAACTTCATACTGTGCTTTTCCCCAAAAAAAGTCGGTTGTAATTAGAAATGTGGAATAATAAAGAAAGCACAACTCATGAAGGCATCAAAGGTGTACATATCAATGATACAATTATAATAACACTAATAATCATAATAATAATAACAATAATAGCAACATTAATAACGATAATAATCATAATATAGAAGAGGCAAGTGGCAACTCTTATCCCATCACTCCAAGTGAAGAGCAAGTGATAGCAAATCAAGTTAATTTATAGATTGGAGAAACAAAAATTGAACGAATCCGGAGTCAACATTAATACAAAATAAATTGTTTACGACAAGATCAACTTGCCACAACAGCTATTGAAAAAAACTAAAAGAAAAAATGAATTAGCGATGACATGGGCACCAAGAAAAGTTGCAGGGTATATAATTACGATACCTCATACAAAATAAAAATAAATGATAGCATTGAGAATCAAACAAATATTCACATAAGAATAACAGGAGGAGTGGCTGCCCGCCCTTCTTTATCATCAAATATGAGCTGTGCACACAATAGCGGCCAGCAGTGCAGATCAAAGTGATCCCGTTGAAGTAAGGCGCCTAATATCATCCGTACACGAGCACTAGCTGTACCGAGTTTCAAACTGAGTCCAGTGAACTCGTTCATTCTTGGATTTTAGAAAAAAATCTGATCTCTACTAAGTATGGGAAGTTGAATAGTAAGTGACTAAATTCGACTTTGTGAAGTTACAACGTTCGATAATCAACGTTGATAGTCAAAAGGTTGTTGAGGGACGAAAGTAAGCGGCTTAAAGCGTCTCATTCTGTACACGCGCAGAATTCGGGGCTATGTAATAAATGCCAACATGTCATTATTCGTAACGCAATGTATAGGTTCAATATCTCTGATTAAGATGGCAAATTTTGTAAGTAGGGAAATAAATTCCAATGATATTACATTCTTCGGCGAGAAACTGAACTGGTAATCAATACGGATTTTTTTAATTCAGTCGACAACGAAATAAATAAAAAAAAAACGAAATACCGATGAACAAAAGTGGCAAAGAAACACATGTATGTCTCAAGGGATAAGTCATGATGCAATATAGAGGAAATGAAAAGGAAAAAATAATCAAACAGGTTAAGATGACCTTAATGAAGTGGTGATGATGGCCATTTTTCAAAGCCTGAAGATCAATTAAAAGGCTCTCGTATTGTCGAATGACCATACGTGATCATTTTGCGAGACCGGTGACGGATAACGATTTTGTGGCCTAATTTAGACCTTAAGTCGCATCAGCCGGGAAGAAATTGCGAACCAACAAGGCGCATATGACCGTTTCGAGATTACCGACGCGGTCAACGATGGTGGGAAGTTCATAAGATTAAGAAAGAAGAACTGCATGATCTGTATACCGACACAAAGCAACCTACAAACCCATAAGTCACTAGATCATAAACTATATAGGCGGCGAAATGAACCCTAAAATAACCGGTACAGTGCACAAGATGGAATGGAATAGCATTCACCTGGTTAGCGGCGACAGCGGAATGTAGCGGAACCTGCCCGCTGGATGATGAATTGGTCCTCCGAAGCGTCGAGCCAGGGGGGAGAGGTAAGCTGCCAAGGGAGGTACTCCCGTCTTGCTGTTGTTCGAAGGATTGTTGGCAAACTTGACAGTGATGGGTTCGCTCGCTCCCTCAGGGATTGACCCGTTCAGTTTTTGGATAGCGCGATCTGCCTCCACGCGCTGGTCGAAGCGGATGAATCCAACTCCCTTGCTCAGTCCTGCCGAGCCAGTGAGGCAACGAACCATCATTCCTTCAGTTCAACATGTTAACACAAAAACACTCTTCGGAGCATTTTGAGGTAACTGAAGTAACGATTCTTGCTAGATAAAAATATAAAAAGTTAAGAAAAATATGAATAATGTTTTTGAGCCAAAGAAGAGAACGACTGGCTCAAATGAACGTTACGTCGTGCCAGCGGTCACCATTAGTTATTTTCTGTCATCAACCGTCCTGTGCACGGAGATCGCTCGAGCTCAAACAATTGCTGTGACTTTTTTATACGTATATATGTTTTCAAATAAATATTTATAATCGCGTTGTAATAGTTTGATTTATATAACCGTTTAAAAAGCTACGTTGTGCAACGTCTGTTGGGATTACTACTGATACGGAGAGATTGTCCTAACCGCTTAAACCGGAAAATTTGTCATCGGTCCTAGATGGCTTGTTGCCACACGAGATGAAAACCTTCCAACTCGTCACAGAAAAATTCATGATCAACGTTACCCGACACTTCGCGATATTCAGACTAAAACATTCTTGCTATTCAAATGGAAAAGTAATGAAAAAATATATTAAGCGGACTTGGCCAATTAATTCCAAATAAACAAAACCGCTCGCTCAGATACAATTACGAACAAACAACGAATAATTCTGACCAGTGATGTTGTCACAGAGGATGCGCGATGTGATGATAGATCCGAATGCGCGGAACATGTTCTCCAGATCCTGCTGAGTCATGCTCTTGGGTAGCCCCGACACGTAGAGGTTTGCCCCCTTGATGGCCTCGCTGCTGGGTCGCGCGTACGACACCTGGTCATAGACCCCACAAGAGTATAGACTACATTATTTGTATGAATCTTTGGTGGCCTGTAATTAATAATATGAACAGCTGTGACGCAAGAAGTTCGAGCTAAATTCATACCATAATTAATTTAAATGTTTTATTATTATTAATTTGCTAGTTACTTTAACTATCGTGAGAATATTCAATAATCATAATATCGAGTAAAATTTCTATAAAAAGGTTTGAAAAATGAGATACTACGTTAACGAATTCAGAATGTAAAAAATAATTCGACAAATTCCAGCTAGCGTAAAATCCAAGAAGGAAGACAGAAATTCTTCAGAAGATTAAAGTTGGATAACTCCATGCAAGCTGGAATTCTTAGAAAAGACATCAGAAATACGGTACCTTGATTGTCTTGTTCTGCAAACGCAAGCCATTGAGCTGACTGATGGCTCGCTCAGCGTCGTCCGTACGTACGTAGTTCACGAAGCCGTAGCCCAGGCTCTGACCTGAAGCAAGAGCGAGACACGTTTCAGTATTAAACGCTCACTATAGACGATGAAAATGACGCGCCTCTACTATACACTGTGATGTTATACCATCACAAGACCTCTACTGTAAGCGGCGATGGTGACGCGCCTTCACTGTACAATGTACATTGTAACGATGTTATGACCTCACAGGACCTCTACTGTAAACGGTGATAGTGACGTGCCTTCATTATACACTGTAATGTTGTGATATCATGCGACTGTAATATTGCAGGCTCAATCTCAGTACAAGACGCAGCCACTATTCATGTACAATAAGAGGTACTTTTCTGAGTAATTATTTTCAAATCATTCACGGATTTACTCGCGCAGTAAACTCAGCTGGTGAGAGTGAGGAACAATGTATGCCCATCATCAGTTAACTTAGCGATTCGTGATATTTGTTTTAAGAAATTATTAAGGATACAACAGCTAAGAAATTGGTCACTTATAAGCGGTGTTACGAGGTATACGTTCCGGTATCGAAGGCATCTTTGCAATGGTTGTGTACAGTGAAGTCATAACAAGATAAGTTTAACAAACGGCACAGACAGCAACCATTTCCATAAAAGGCAAACGCACTGCAATTTTAAATGTACTCGACGTCATAAAATTTTATAGAAATTTCATCATTTCGAAAAAATTTAGAAATGATAAAAAACGTAACTCATATTTTCAGGATGAAGCAGAACATCGCCAAATAAATCTGACAAGAGAAATTTCTAACTAAATGAGAATGCGATTGAATAAAGAACACAAAAAATATGAGTAATGATCACTGAACACAGAAGATAGCATACATATAAATAGCCTAAATTATCTGTTCGCCCGCAAATAATTAGAAAATGACGTAATAAGAAACGACCATGACAAATCACAATCATGAAAAATAATATAATATTTCAACAAAACTGCTGATTTCATAAAGATATCCATAGCAGAACATAACTACGATGCAAAAATTTGAACTCGTTTCAACATGGGGGCGCTTGTGACGATATACTTGGGAAAAATCATACAACTCATCAAGTTTCTCCGCTTGGAAATTCATCTCATGGAATGCAAGTATATTTGTATATCATGAACTCAAAGAACGATGAGACAGTAACTTTGGTGATTGAAAGCACATATTCCGGTTTAAAATGTGACGAGCCCTGATTATGAGACATGCGCAGGAGTAACTCTGCAAAATCAGATCAATAAGAAATGAAATCTCAATACTTCAAAGGAAAAGCTGCCTGTACCGAAACACTGCTCAAAAAATATACCTATATTATTTGAAAACTGAATACTGTGAGCAACAAGGAATAAACGAACGGGTCCGCATAATATATTCTCAGAGTCCGGTGTTGTCAACCAAAGAAAATAAATACGTTCAGATGGAATAATAGCTACAAACGGACAACTTGGTACAACTTAGTAGTGAACTATTGAATTTACACGAAGAAACAGCGAACCACAAGCTAATTGCTCATGATTAAGAAATTAACGTTACAATTGCCGCCTCAATTACGGGCTTGTGCATTTAATAGAAAGAGTAGTGGGCTCGTTTGCAAAGGAAAATTACGACAATCAATGTATGAATGATCAGGTATTACTGAAAATAAAAATTATTGTTTCATTCGCTTTGTTTCATCAATGAAATGCAGTTATTTGAACTGCATAAAAAGGTTCTCATTGGTTTATTAAAGTCACGTCAGTTGAGCACGCACATATAATTCAAAACAAAGCTTTCACTCGAGATGGTTAAAATAGGCGCAAGTATAGTTTGCCGCGGGAACGGGGTTAGTTTGATGACCAACATCGAATTCTTATATAGTTGATTTTTACGTCAAAGGGATAAGCACGGAGCAACCATATTAAAGGAACTAACATCAGCTCGCATGTGATCGACATGAGACTTCTCGGGTTAAAAGGGTCGAATTTTGATGAGTGAGGTTAGAAGGTTTGAATATGCATTAGCTATGTAAATGTGAGCGATATTAACAAATTATGGGAAATGAATTGGTCACGAACCTGAGCCACGGTATCCCGGCATGCCCGCGCTAACATCCTCGCCACCTAGCGGACATATTACAAACTAAATACACTTTAATTTGATGTTCTTCTATCTTTACAAGGCAAACAGCATTAGCAATCGTATGGCACGAGTTAACTCAACACCCAGTAACGTTATTGATTGAACAAGCACGATCATTTTTAATAATGTCTTCTACAGACCTTTTGAATAATTGTGAAAAATTCGCAAAATGATATTGAGTTTATCTGAAATGTCATCAAAATCTTTTATACGAGCAAATTGCAGAATTTTCTGCATGAGCAAGTTATTCGTTATGATCTTTCAACCATCCGAAGAACCGATATGAACGTAAGTAAAACTACAAACATACGAAAACTCGAGCAAGTCTTCCTAGATCTGATATTTTTTTTTATCTTTGCATTTGCAATAAAAAAATGATAATGATTGAATGCATGCCCCTTAGGACACACGTTTCACAAAAATGAAAAGCATAGATAAGGTTTATGTAAGCTTATCATTGCCACAATAATTCAGAACACAAATATTCTTTCGACATTCTAATTATTGTAGAAAAATTCTACCTCAACGTCAAATGGGTATAAAATTAAGGAAGGTTTAGTAAGCATGAAACGAGGGAGTGCGAATTTATGGTTATTCAAGAATTCAGCTCAAGTTAATTAGGACAATAAATGTTAGTTAGCAAATGAAATCCCAATTTTGATATGAATTGCATTCATGGAAACACATGAAAAATATCTCAATAATTCGAAATTATATAAAAAAAATCACGGTAACTAATGTGTAAAAACAATAATGATCGAATTGAACATAGTAAAGAGAATAAATCACTATTCGTGAAAACCGATAGAAGGAAGGTAAAAATACCAATTAGTATTTAAATTAAAAAAAAAACGTGAAAGCATCTCATTATTTGACTCAAGGAGAACAGGTGGTCGTTGGGAATGAAGACATGACTATCATAAGCAGTAGCACAAGAACCAAGCGTAGCATGAATAAGAACAAGCATGGGTAAACGCATGGAAAATAAATATATAGAATTAGAAGTATTATAACTACGAAGAAATGCAGTACGAAAAAGACAAGCGCTGCCGTGCATCAAATAACCTCTGTTGAACATGGGTCATTACACGAGTCACCAGCGACCACTTGATTCGAACTCTGCCTTTGACTCAATGTAATTAAAAGTCTCAGTTCACACACAGGAGATCCGTTGCACGCCAGCAATGACTCATCGTCATGAGAGGCTACACTTCAAATTTGTAAGTCTTATAGTCTAGAAATACTTAGCCGAGACGATGTTCCCGCATCACTCAGCACCCACCTGTAACCAAATAAAATACCGATCAGAACAATTTAAAGCTTCTATTTAGACGCTAATTTTCAGTCTGAAACACAACATTCAATACAGAATAGATTAAATTATTGTTAGCGAGTTGATATAAATTTTACAAAGTTCAATAATTTTACAGCAAAATTAGACAAGCGAAACTAGAATTGCTAGGAAAGAAATTGCATGAAAAATCCTAGATACATGAACTATGAAAGCAGTTAGGTTAATAAATGTAATCCGGATGCAAAACTATGCCCGAAAAAAATTGCGACCCTTATACAGGAATGGAGGTATAAATAGAAGCCTGACATGTATTGAAAGCATGAGTACATCCCGCTCCAGAGCCAATGCCTTCTCAGGCTAATGAGGCGAAGAGTCTAAATGTACGGTAGGGCAGTGAGACATGGGATGTCATTACCGTAGACTTCCTCGCATTGAATTTTCAAGATAAACTCGAGCTGCACGTTATCGAATCTATGGAGTCGTTACCGCGGACTGATATCACTATCGTTGCTAATTGCACAGCAGCGATAAATAAAAACAATTCAGCCCTTGATAAATAAAAACAATTTACATCATAATGTAATTATGCGGAATATCATGAAGAACCTAAAACGTTTATTTCCGTGCTAACTCTGCCTATAGGGATATTAGCATAACTACGAATGTCCAAATTTAGCTACAAACTGACAAACTGCGCTGGAACTGTCGAGGTTGCGCACTATTTGGAAAAGCCAAGCGGATGAATGAAATAAGAAATTTCAGAACTATAATGCACAGTGAATCGAAAATTGTCTTTCTGGGGAGGCGACAGACCAACCCTCATGAATGCCGAGCGTTGCCTCGGTGACGTGTGCCGGGCAGGTCTGACAGACGGTAAAAGGAAGCGAGTGTCAAACTGCCATTGCTTTATTGGCGGGAAGTTAACAGGTGGCTCGTACATGACAGCTGGGCGACACGCCGCGTCTCACAGCCCTCAACACCCATCATGCTTTCAGGCTCGACATCGCCTACACCTGCTCCCTCCCCCCCCCCCCCTATCCCATACACACAACTTGCTTGAACTAACAACACTGCGATAAATTAGTGGGGTATTGACAAAAAATGATTACACAGCATGCGCAAAAGTGTGGCACTATGTTATGTCCCTTCGCATGGCACAATGAAATCAGAATGGCCCACAGAAAAAAAATTAATATGTGAAAAAAGGGCATCTCGTTTCCTCATCTTGAACCCCCAGATTGAGGCACTAAAATACGTCTAACATTGCGATCAGATTTATTTCATAAAAAATTTCACCCACAAACTTTATTTTCGATATGTTTGTTGTTCGTAACTGACGCTCGTTTAATAATCACGGCCTGCATGAGGTTTTGTCAATACTTGTGATTGTTAAAAATTGTGGTTGCTAAGAGAGGCGAACAAAAATTACCCAAATGTGAACATTTCCGCGGATATGAACATTCCTACGGACTGGAATATCACCTCTAACGGAGGTATTTAAATTAGTGCCTAGAGGACGCAGCACGACAGTTAATCTCACACACGAGAGCAACAATAACGGCATGGCAGTCGTAGGTACAGCTGAAGGGAGGCATGCAGCTGCAGCGTTATATAGGCAGGCTGCCAAGGTTGCATCAGACAAGCTAACACGATTCAGTACAACTGATGCCGCAGATTCACGGTATTTACATGCCGCATATTCACGGTATTTACAGCCATTTCTACAATTACAGTCTACCGCGCCGGAGATAGGAAGCCTGTCATAAACGAGAAAAAGTCAACGTTATAAAACAGAATTTAATAATTCGATTTTTCAGGTGAGCAACCTGATAGACCGAACGTATTCAGATTATAACATAAATTATAGTTGTGTAACATTTCAAAGTAAATTACCAAAAGAGCGACATAAACTCGCACAAAACTAGGGACGTGTGAAGAAGCATAATAAACAAAGAAAAGACAACGCAGCTTCACACATCCCACGTGTCAATACTTTGAAAGGAGAATAGCACACGAACGGCTCTTACGTGTCAAGCAAATAAATCAGCTACGGTACTATGGGAATACGATATTATTTGTTCTGTAAAATGTTTTGACAGTTGAATTGTGATATCACTTCTTATCTCCCTACCCGATTTCATTACGTTTTTGTGGAGCCAATAAATGAGGTATTACGTGAATAAATGGTTTATCGTTCACCTTGATGACGGCGCGTGGGTAATTATACTATAAGCTAGTCATCTCATCACTCAATCACGAGTAAAAAAATTAGTATAAATGAACGATGGTCTTGAACGCGGTAGCAAGTTTTATTTCCGATGATAGTACCATCCTATCATTCCTGAAATATAATCGCCGAATAAAGGACGAGATCGACGTCATGTAAGTTCCAGAATAAGCGAGCGAGTTGCCTGAGTGTGGCACTTGGGAGCGCTAATGTGCTTGTTCTCGCAACAAGCACTATAAGCAAGCGTGCTCAGGCACCAAGTTCCCTAGTTTCCAGCACGAAAAGAAGCAAAGCAAGAACAAGAGTTGCCAAGCGAGCAAGAGACGAGCAACTCTTGAGTGGAAGGAAGATATTAAAGGGCTGGTGTTCCGACGGAGGAAGCGGCAGCAGGAAGTTCGGCACTCACGAGTAACACAAGGCGAGCAATAGGCGAGCCGAGAAAGCAGATCTCAGTACCATTGTGCCGCCGAGTTATCGGTCGCTGACGGAACAAGCGCCAGATAATGTCTTTAATTCCAGCACGAATGCACCATAGAAGAGGAAGACCACAGAGGCTGTTGCCTCAGACGAGCGCTATCTTGGATACCATCAGCAGAATATCATCAGCTCTAGGAAATGCGAGCGACGCGAGATGAGCGGCAGTTTAGTCGTCACAGTGCTTATGATGGAGAAGTTGTGGCGTAAAGCCAATGTGCGCGTGGCTCAGCCAGCAATCATAAATGTTACAAGAAAGCGTGTATTAGATAGAGCTGAGGGAATAAGGCAGATAAGCTAAAGATAAATAAATATTCTCATTAGCACACGGATGATTGAGAGTTTTTCACGGAAGAATGTAATACAAGCCTCGATAATTCTATGATAATATTTCAGGAAAGATAGAATTTGCGTACGTATTCATTTGTAATTACATGCAAAGAAAAAACACTAAACCAAGAAACTAATATGTAGTCAGTATACAACATAACTGATAACAAGAGCAGCAGGAAAGATAAACGAAGCAGCAAAGATGAGCAATGAAATCAAGCCTGGCAATATTTCAGGAGCCCGAAGCAGCTGTCGTTATTCTGACATGAGCAATAAAACGGACCACACGGAGTTTGTGTTGAGCGTAAACACGTCATTGGGCCGCAGAATCGGACCGTTGCTCTCGGACAATCTGCTGACCCAGCGGTCGCCCGCATCGCGGTTATGTAGAAACTGATAAATGTCCAACAATCGCGGCGGTTCCTCATATCAAAAATATTCTACATTTTTTGAAACCTCGAAATCAACATATACGTCAAGACTAAGGCAGATTTTATTTGGAATGAGCCCAATCAATTTTCTGCGAGCAGAAGGCCTATAAATGCATGTTATAAATTCGTGCCGCACCTTCGATGACCCAAAAATGACCATTAGTTACCTATTCGCTGATTAATTGTGCTTAAAATATTTTGTGTTGAAGGATAGATTGTCCAGAT